TCTCATTAGATAGATCCCTGGAGCACAGACTTCAGGTCCAGTTCATAGCCGTATCTATAGCCCTTGATGGGCACTTGCTACATATTTTTTGAATGAATGAATGAAGGTGCATGCCACGAGCATACTTCCTTTGTTACCTATCACTACTTTTCTACAGCAAACACAAACTTCTGCTGTCTTAAATAACAAGATGCAGTGATCTCATATTATTTTTATTGTTCTGTTGGGTTTCTATATGTGGTTGCTGTGAGTGCTCTGTGGGAAAGCAATTTTATTGTGATAAGGACTGCATGGCATTTTCCAGGATATATTATATTTCAGTGCATTTCATATAATTGTGAAATATTTACCAAGATTGTTCTTACTTTCCCTTTTGGGGAATTTTATTGATAATCACTTGTATTTAATTTTTGCTTATATTTGTGTTTTATGACTTTTTTCCTCAGTGAGTATATATTGATTTTTGGAATAAGAATAATAAAAAGAAATTCTTTTGGGAAAAAAGAGTAAGGTGTTTTTACAGTTTGTTTGATGCATATCAGCATGGAAAATTCCTATTTACATTCCCTACTCCTAAATTTTTCTTTCATTGCGATGGTGGTTTGTCTTACACTACAGGCTGATGTCTGCTGTGAGTCAAAGTGTTTCTCAATACATAGCTCTCACGTCTGAATTTTGTTGAGACATCTTGAGATTCCACGAGAGGTACAATATTATTCTTACTTGTTTATTCCACAGGGATAATGTTAGCTGTTCTCCTTTCATTTCTTCTCTGAAATTCTGTGATAGAAGAACTTACATTTGACCAGTCTAGGTATATTTGATTTTAAGCAATTGACTTTAAAGCATTTGGGATAATGTGGTATGGATATCTGAGCAGAGAGTTTCAATACTCTTTCATTTATGCAAGCAAGATGCATCAATTTAGAGTGAGCATTGTAAGATGAAGAGATGCACATCTGGCATGAACATGGGGGGAGATTGAAGTCAATGGCTGAGAAACTTATTGTAGGACACTAACTAGAAAGAAGTTATAAAAAAGTTTGAATTAGCTAGAATTTTCAAATAGTTTATCCATTTTAAGGATTAATTGTAGCTAATTTTATTACTATTCTCTTGTTAATATAACTCAGAATGCTCTAGGATAACTAGTTGCTTCTTAGCACTATTAACTCATGCTAATATCAGCTCAAGAAGAATATGATTTAGAAGAAAATCTACTGTCTCCAAAATAGACTACTGAAAAAGCACATACATGGCTGTAGGTTAAATAGAAATGACTTTGAAGTGTATTTATTTGATTTGAACTATCAGTTTCAGAATATTCCATTAGTAATGGCAATCAATAGCTTTTCTCTAGAAATTCTAGTCAAATTGGGATATGTGAAAAAATATGATCAGTGAATATTCACGGATAGAATCATAAGGCAAGCCTGTGAAAAGTCCTCCCTATCATCAAGTCCACAATTTCCAAACGTCAGTTGAACAGACCTATAATGGATGCCAGGGAATCAGACTACATCTACAGTCAATATTCTTGATGGAATATGTAGAAATAATTCCAGAATTAACCAGTGGGAGTTCTGTGACCTGGCCTGATGGACCAGGTCTTCAGGGAGGATCTGGAGTGGGTATATCATGGAGGCCCGTCAAGGCACCTTCTACCAGATGTTATAATCATGATTTTGGGGCTGTTTATTTGCTCTCTCTTTTTCAATCTGAATGTTTGTCAGGTATCTTATAGCAGTGATGGTATACAGCATTGGCTCTCAAGTCTAGATGCACATAAAATGCTCTGGAGGGTTAATTGTTGAAGATAGATTCCCTGCCTGCTATTGTTTCAATCTGGAATGTTCCTCAAAGGCCCATGTGTTAAATAAAGGCTTGGTCCTCATATTGGAAAATCTGGAAGGTGGTAGAACCTCTAAGAGGCCTGGTAGGAGGTCTTAGGTGACTGAAGACATGTCCTTGAGGGGCTATGAGATGCTGGTCTCTTCTTCTCTTTTGCTTCCTGGCTGCCATGAGGTAAGTAGCTCTGTTGCTCAGCATGTTACCTGCCATGATATATTGCTTTACCGCAGGCTGAAATGCAACAGGATCAACTGACCACAGACAGAAACCTCTGAAACATGGATGAAATAAACTTTCTTTCTTTTTAAGTTGAGTTCCTGAGGTATTTTTCCAAAGCAACAGAAAACAGATGAATGAATGTATTGCTTTTCCTAAAGCCTCCTCTACCACAAGAGTAAGTCCCTAATATTGATAGCCCTTGGTCCACTCTGGGAATCATAGAAGGCAGCATTGGTGGGCTAAAAATTATTCAGATGTGTAGTTTTATTTTGTTTTGTTTTGTTATTGGGAATTGAACTCAGAGGATCCTAACCACTGAGCAACATCCCCAGCCCTTTTTAATATTTTACATTTTGAGACAGGGTTTCATTAAGTTGCTTAGGGCCTCTGTAAGTTGCTGAGGCTGGCTTAGAACCTGCGATCCTCCTGCCTCAGTTGTGTGTGCATAAAGTTCTATGCCACTGTATCATGTGTAGATTTGTGTAACCACTACTATATATAGTCGAGATAGAGGATTTTTTCCTTACTATAAAGATCTATTCATTCCTTTATGGCAACATCTGCCCTCCTCTTCCTTGTCCCTCATCCTTTAGCTATTCATTTTTGAGAACGTGTGTATTTTGTGCTATTGAAGGTTCACTCCTGCCCACACTGGCTAAGGTAAAATTTAGAGCTAGAGGGCATTGGTGACCCAGATTTCTATAGGCCATCAGATCTGCTCCAAGCAGGTTTTAGGGCCTTCTAAGGTAAAGTGAAGGCACTGATTTGTACAAGACAGAGCTTTGTTTACAGTGCACAATGTAGGGCAGTATTTCCAGTTTTCCATGCAGATGAGAAGAGATATTCCCATGTTGAAAGGTCTGCACAATGTTTTAGCTAGAATGTCTCGGAATATTTTACCTTCAGCATTCCCACCCTCATTAAAACACTCTAGATAAAAGGCACCAGAACACTCTACGGGTTGTGTTTGATGGTTGTGATGAGAGTTATGTCCACACTGAATGGAGCTCCTATAAGCTGTCACCACTGGACTGGCACTTAAGTAAGAAGTGAGGGTTGTTTTTTTTTTTTGTCTGAGTCTAAAAGAAAACGAGATCTTAAGGGTAAGAAGTTGCTTAACGATTGAGTCAAGTTCCTTTGGGTAGCAAGAGGTACAGCACAGGCTGGGAGGAACTTGACAGGAGGTCAAGGCCATGAGCTTGAGTACAAACCTGATCTGTAGGCTGGCTCCAAGTCATGATGCTGTGTTGGCACACTGTGCCAAGGTGTTGTAACAGTGTCTCCTGGCACTCGTGACCACAATAGAAAGCAAGGTTTGCAGTACCATTTATCTTTAAAGCCCCAACAAATCTACTAGTAGTATAGTGACTTATCATTGACTAGAATGAACTGAACCTGGTAGGCAGAAGTGAATGCTAAAAATTCTCTGCTCATTTTCTAGTCATTGCTTTTTCTTTCTTTCTTTCTTTTTCTCTTTTCACATACAAATTGTGAATTTGAATGCCTGAAAATATGCATGCAAATTTTCCTTTTCTTTCTCTCTAGCTCAGCTATTCTCAACATTTGGTGTGCCTAAGAGTGACAGTACAGGATTTTAGACATAAAATATTTTGTTGTAAAACATTTTCATTGTTGAAAAATGTAAGAAATTTTTAAAGGCAATTTTATGTAACTATATAGAATTTTTTTAAAAACTAGTTTTATTTATTTTTTGACACAGACGGAACACAACTTTTCATTTCTCTGGTTGTACATGATAATAGAGTCGCACCATTCATGCAATCATCCCATACATAGGGGTAATAATGTCCATCTGGTTCCATCATCTCCGCCCCCATACATCACCTCCCATTTCCTTCCTCCCCTCTGCTCAATACAAAGTTCCTCCATTCTTCCTTTCCCCTCCCCCGCCTCCATGGTTCAGCATCCACATATCAGAGAAAACATTTGGCCTTTGGTTTTGGGGATTGACTAATTTCACTTAGCATGATATTCTCCAACTTTATCCATTTACCTGTAAATGCCATAATTTCATTCTTCTTTAAGGTCAAGAAATATTCCATTGTGTATATATACCACAGTTTCTTTCTTTCTTTCTTCTTCTTTTTAATCTTTGTGTGTGTGTGTGTGTGTGTGTGTGTGGTGCTGGGGATTGAACCCAGGGCCTTGTGCATGCTAGGCAAGCACTCTACCAACTGAGTTATATCCCCAGCCTACCACAGTTTCTTTATCCATTAATCTATTAAAGGAAATCTAGGCTATTTCCACAGTTTAGTTATCGTGAATTGAGCTGCTATAAAGATTGAGGTGGCTACATCACTGTAGCATGATGATTTTAAATCCTTTGGGTGGGTATAGACCGAGGAGTGGGATAGACAGGTCAGATGGTTATTCCATTCCAAGTTTTCTAAGGAGTCTCCATACTGCTTTCCAAAGTGGTTGCACCATTTTGGAATCCCACCAGCAATGAATCCGTGTACCTTTCCCGACATCCATGTCAGCACTTATTGTTGCTTGAATTCTTGATAATTCTGATTGGAATGAGATGAAATCTTACAGTAGTTTTGATTTGCATTTCTGTAATTGCTAGAGATGTTGAACATTTTTTCATAAATTTGTTGACTGATAGTATATCTTCTTCTGTGAAGTGTATGCTCATTTCCTTAGCACATTTATTGATTAGGTTATTTATTTATTTTTTTTTGGTGTTAAGTTTTTTGAGTTCTTTATATATCCTGGAGATTAGTGCTCTATCTGGTGTGTGTGTTGTACAAATTTGCTCCCATTATGTAGGTTCTCTGTTCACTTCATTAATTATCTCTTTTACTGAAAAGAAGCTTTTTAGTTTGAATCCATCCCACTTACTGATTCTTGATTTTATTTCTTTCACTTTAGGAGTTTTTTTAAGGACTATATAGGATTTTTGTCTTCAAATTCCTGGCTAAGATGTTACTCCACTACTGGTTTTCATGCTTTATTTCTTGTGATGTCACAACAATCCCATAAAGCAGAAAAAGCAGATACTATCACCATTTTGAGAATGGGTAAGTAAGTCCAAGAACTTACGTGCACAGGGAAATAAGCTTTGAAGTATTATTATCAATCATTGTGCTTTTCTCTTCTGTACTTCCTTGTTTATGACTCTCCTTCCTACAAAGGATATGTCCTCTGCCTGGAGATGAGTTGTGATTTTTATATTAGGAATACAAGAGAAAGACCCAATATCTGTAAGAGCCTAATTTTGTTGAGAGAAGAAGTGCTTTTGAAAGTCAAAAAAGAAGAGCCCTGAAGGAGGTGAGATATAGTGTTTATAATACTGTATTTATAACAGTGGTCTAGAAAGGAAATAGAAAAACTCTCCTAACTTGCCAGGACACCAAGTCAGAGCTTCCTGGTGGGAGAAGGAGGGTGACACTGGAGAATTTGACCTTGAGGTTGGCCAGTGGATCCTTGGGCATATGGCTCACACCCAGAGGGTCACCCGGAAAGTCAAGTCAGCATTAAAGCACTTCATGCATTGACTTTGAACCAAAGCCAGGGAGTGAATGAGCACTCAGCCAGCATCTGTGATGGCCCTTACCTTCCAGGGAGGCCTGCATGGTAGCTGTGCTAAGCAGTAGTGAGCTCTTCTCTCAGGGCTACCTGACATGGCCCTGAAGAGGACTGTGTTGGCTAGTACCCTCCCACTTCTCTGAGTTCCATCCAAAATGACCCATATGGTTACTCTCTTTTTCAGTGGCAAGGACACTTGGTAACTCTGTCACCCCCATAGAGATAATATGATGCAGAAAGAAAGGAATGGTGGTGAAAGATTTTTACATGATTTCAGAAGGCTGAGGAAGCAGGTAAATGGAGCTGGCCCTTGCCCTTTGTCTCCATAGCTCTGTCTCCTCTGCCATACCAACTCTCCCTATTTACTGAATATCATCCAAATAATGAAATAATAGGCTCATGGATGACTATGTGAGATAGGAACAGAAAGGAAGGATCAAAAGAAGCAAACAAGACAAGACATCTATGTTAGAGTTTCAGAGATGCAGACTGAGTCATTTTTATCTTCCTTAGATTCATGGCCAAAAAAAAAAAAAAAAATCCAAAGCAAAAACAAATTGTACCAGTCTTATGCAAAGAGTGTAAGACATGGGATTAATTATCATTATTCTTTTTCATGTAATTCCCATAAATTTACATCTGCCTAAATGAATAATTTTTAGCCCATTAATATTTAGCTCTTGCCTCCAAATCTGTTCATTTTTTAAAGGAACATTTATTGATTATTTGCCAAGAGTAGGCCCTGAGGCTACAAAGATAAATAAGTATGGTTAAATAAGGAACTAGAGAACATGACATTTTAGTAGCCTATAAAAGGTCAATTGCATGTAAATTGCAGAAAGCATTAAAATAGAGGAATAGACCAAGTACTATACTGCATGGGTCAGAGCATGAAGCAACTACCCCTGCTTGCTATGTGAGTTCATGCTGTAAAGATGAATGAAGGATAGAAAAGGAAAAGGAGAATGCATTCCAGCAAAGGAAAGAGGAGATATAGAGCTTCAACACAGAGTGTCTGGGGTTGTGATAGGAGATGAACCCACAGAGGGAAGACAGTGGTAGATTATGAAGGGCCATCTAGGCTAAACCGAGAGTGGCTTCAAGGTAAGTGAACTTGGAAGTCCCTCATAATCTCATCACCACCCCACAGGACACATGTTCTCTCTACATAGGGAACTTTTCAGTCTCTGAAGCCCACCACCACCTTTCTGGACATTTGCATACCTATTGCATTTCTATTGGAAATATTTTCCTTTATCACCTGATTCCCAGATGCAAACATGTCACCCTTAAATATGTGTTCCTTCTCATCTCTCAGGTTTAAGTAAAACTCGGAAAGAAAGGTGATCCTTTGTCTTCTGAGCAATTAAAAAAAAAGGTTACCACTTGCAATTTTCCCTCCTTTTTAAAAATTTTTCTCACAGTATATATCCAGATTTAGGAATGTGAATGTTCATTTATAACATAAATAATCTGCAGTTGTTGTTTTTTAAAATATTTATTTTTTAGTGATAGGTGGACACAATATCTTTATTTTATTTTTATGTGATGCTGAGGATCAAACCCAGTGCCTCATGCATACTAGGTGAGAGTTCTACCTCTGAGCTACAACCCCAGCCCCTGCAATTGTTATTTTTATTACTCAGTTTTTGATTGCCAGTTTGACCTAAAATTACCCACCACATTCCTAGAATACTCTCTCTTCTCTCCAATGCATTTCAAAATAGTACCAATCCCTACAGATCATAGTGCCCAGAGGAGAAATCAGGCTGGAGCATGAAATTTTTTGCTTGAAAAATAAAGTATAAAGCCAGAGGCTGGGGGAAGAGATCTTCTAGGAAGAAAGTTGAGAGAACTTTAACATAGTTTGCAGGCTCCAGTGAAAAATGGGTGAGTCTCAGCTTGGGGGTGACTGGCTCCAACACCAAAATGTCATCAGGTCTCCTGATCTGTTCTCCAGTCTGTGATCCAGACCAGGACATCAAACCTACCTGATAATCCTATCTTCTTATCACAAAGTCATCTGAAACTCCACATGTCCAATCCTTTCTGATCTTCCTCAACAAACCTTTCTCCTTCTGTACTTTCCTTTCTATCATGCAATTACTATGCCACTCAGAAATGTCATCTGTCATTCTCTGTCATCTTTCCTCCTTCATCCTCTAAATAGTTTGAACTGTGAGAATGTTTATGAAGGTTGTGTAAAAGTATTTAATCAGGAGACTTCATGTAGTCTGAGGAGTCAGGTAGAGCTTCTCTGAAGAAATCATTTTTAGCCTGAAGTTTATTTAGAAGAACCAGGTTCCTGAGGTCATAAGGGAAGATGGGGAAGGAGAAGTATTGTTGGCAAAGGACCAGCAGCCTTGAGTCAGGTGGTGTGGTTGAGAATCCACACCAGTGGATTCCGGTGGGGCTGGAGCAGAAAGAGCAAGTATGATATGGGAAGAAGAAGAGAGGAAGCCAGCTGTAGGGCCTGGGGAAGATCGTGGTCTTAAATGCAATAAGGGGACCAGTGAGGCATTGTAATAAGAGTGAATGGATTCAGTTAAAAATTTTCATTGTTAAGTAATATTAAATTTGCTAACAATGTTGGCTCTTCTGGGGACTAGACTGTAGATGTCACATGGTGGGACTTTGTATAGCGTCTCAGCTGTGGGGCACTGACAAGGGGGTAGATCAGGAGATGTGTGAATGGTAAAATTTTTGCTTGATCTAATCCATTTTGGGCCTTTGTGTCACTTCTGTGAACTCATTCTTTTTCTTGGTTACAGATTTCCTACTATTTTCCTTGCACATTTCATGGGATTCATATTTGCTTCTTAGTATGGATTTTGAGTCTCTCTACAGTATATCCTCAGTCTTTTTTTCCAATGGTGTTGAATATTTCTGTCAATGTCTTTACCCATAACATAATTTTTCATTATTCTTATACAATTTTTTTTTCAAAACTTTGGACTCTAACTTTTATTGCTTTTTCTTTTATACTACATTCTCTCCCCTTCTCTTGATGTTTCTAAGATTCTACTCAAGTGTCATATCAAAGACTATCTTCAATAAAAAGTAATTTCTGCCTTAATGCAAAGTAAGCCTTTTCTTTCTCAGACTCCCAGTGCTCTGATTTTTCTTTTCAATTGAAATGAATTTGAGCTACTCACCTGCTACTCACTCATGGATGCATTTCCACCCTTGATTTGCTGCACTCTGCATCTTACAGTGCTCACCATGTGTTTGCCACAATTCCTGGAAAAATGGCTTTCTTCCATGGGAAGCTTGGGAGGGAGCTTCAGGAGTGAGATTTGAAGCCAGTGATAATCCTATGGTGTTTGGGTTGCTGATTTTAGAGGACTTTAACTCTGGTAGAAGATTCACATTGTTCTCCTGAATCAAGAGTCTCACATTTACAGTGAACATAAATGGAGGATCATAATCCTGATCCTTAAGTGTACAAGAAATATTCCTTCCTGCAAATACTACAGCAACTAGCCCAGAGTTTATACAATCGCTAACTTATTGGCCTAGACAGCATGGTCTGGTCCTTAGCCTCTGGAGCTTTTGATTTTCTAATATGGATAGAGATTGTTTATGTTTCCCAATTATTAAAAATGAATTCCTATTTTTCTTCCCAAAACTCAGTCCCCAGGATGTTCCTTTCTATGCTTGATCAAGTTTACCCACTGGCAATTCTACTGTGTGCTCATTCTTCAGACCCAGCATCTTGCTTGCTTTCTATTCCCTCTGGACTCTTCCAGCTAAATCAGGTGATGACTGGTCTGAATATAACTTCTTCCTGGAAGCTCTTATGTTATGGTCTCATCCCTGCAGGCATCTCTCACGTAGTACTCACTCCATCCAGTCCAGTGGGCCTGGGCAGTAGGGCTATGTAACATGATCACATTATCTCTGTCTTTCCAGACCTGCAGCTGATAAGGACTTGCTGATCTTTGGCATGCCTCACCTTTCTGTCTTTGGTCATTAAGCTCTTGCAACACCGTTTAGTTTCTTCAGCCAAATTCCTTCTGTGAAACTTCTTGGCATGATTTCTGCTTTTCTGACTAGATCCTGAGAGAGTGATATAGTAATAAATAACAAAACCAGAGCTGTATTTAACATTAAAAGAACTTAAAAATAATTCCCACCTTGCTGCTTATTAACTGTTTTTGAGCAACTACATCTTTCTGAAGTTTTGTCCTTTCTTTTGTAATATGCACTTGTCTACCTTATGAGGTTAATGTATAAGAATTAAATATGATCTATAAGAATTAAATATGATCATAGATATGAGAGTACTTTGGAAAGTGTAGGTAGAAGCATAGCTTGATACATGTCCTTGGTCATCACAGTGTGTATCTCTGTGTGAATTTGTTTCTTATCCTCCTAAACACACTGTCAACTTCTTGTGGTCACAGACATTATCTTGTACAATCTCCTAGTGACTTCTACATTATTATTGCTCAACACATAGTGGTTATTCAATACATATGTACTGAGTAGT